GTGTGTGAGTGTGTGTGTGTCTGTGTGTGTGTGTGTGTGTGAGAGAGAGAGTGTGAGTGTGTGTCTGTGAGTGAGTGTGTGTGTGAGTGTGTACATATGCTCACCGTAGTAAATGTGGCTGAACACACAGTCTGTGCACAGACTCCACTGCCACGGCTCTCAGCCACTGCGGCTTCTCTCCATCCAAAAACTTCACCAGCAGAGACAGGAAGATCTCACACTCCGTTACCTACAACACACACACACACTGAGCACTGTAGACAACACACTGATGCATCCAAACAACATCAGCAACTGCAGTGCTGGATACCTGAATGTTTTCCAGCACAGAAGTGCACCACGAACAAATTCAACACACCAATATAATATTTTTTTAATATATATTTAAAAAAAAAATTTCTTGCTCTTTTGAAAATGAAACATTCAAAAATATTCACTGTTATGAGCTCATTAACATATGGCTGCCTGCATTTACATATCAACAACACCATTTTAATATTCAGCAACCCATCCTGATGAACATTATGCAGGGTAGGAAATCATAACAGAGGCCATTTACATATTTCAAAAGCAACTTTTGGGCAAGACACTCCAGGTGAATAGGGGGAAAACAATTTATCTAATATATATCACTACACTTCCCAAGTCCAATTGATTGCATTAGGAATTGTAAAGATTTTTTTTGTGACATCAGTGGTTCAACTGTAAAGTTACGAAGCTACGAGAATACTTTTTTGCGCAAAGAAAACAAAAATAACGGCTTTATTCCACATTTTCGTCTCTACTGCGTCACTTGTGGACGCGCGTTCACGACAGTATCATGAAGCGAGCGTGTGGCGGCGCTGACCCAGATCCGGCGTGAAGAACCACTGATGTCACACGGACTACTCTGTCGATCATCTTGGTACTTTTCTGGACCTTGAACGTGGTAGTTACCTTGCTGTCTATGGAGGGTCAGAGAGCCCTCGGAATCCATCAAAAATATCTTAATCTGTGTTCCGAAGATGAACGAAGGTCTTACAGGTTTGGAACGACATGAGGGTGAGTAATTAATGACAGAATTTAAATTTTTGGATGAACTATCCCTTTAAACAGTCATTACATTACGTGTGCACTAATTAATGCTCACAACACCCTATTTTGGGTAAAAATAGGAAAGATAATACTTTTCTCTAAAAAAACAGGATTCCCTGAATTGTCGTCATTGATATCGTTATCGCAATAAATATCAGAAATTATCGTTGGTATATTTTTAAGCCCATATCGCACATTTATCAGATACAATACTTGTGTTCTTTTTTATTATGTATGTCTTTTGTTTTAAGGTGCTATACAAATAAACTTGAACCTTGATCCCTATACTGGAGCATCACTGTGCGTCTCACCAGGAGGCTGTAGAAGTGTTTGATGAGGACCGAGACGACCCGCAGCAGTCTCATGCAGATGGGGAAATAGGGTTTCTCCAAAGGCGCCGGGGACGAGGCGCTGCTGCTGCAGCCCTGACGGAACTTGATGTTGGGAGAGAACAGCTTGATGACCAGCGGACACACGCGCTCCTTCAGCAGGAAACTGAACTCCTGATGCTACACACAGAGACACGGAGAGAACACAAGGTTAGAGAGCGATCGGAAGGCCGACAGCTGGGAACCAGTCATTTCCTCTGGTTTATTTGACATCCGTCTTTCAGGAATGTTTGTTTTCATCGGGATGTGTGGGGTTTACCTGCAGGAAAACTTCAGGAAAGTCATTTAAAACTGATTCCAGCAGCTCCAGGCCGAACGTCCGGGTCATCTCGGTCATTCCCACTAACCAGTAGGGGGCGTCGGCGTTCACCAGCTGACACAAATCCTGCAGAATAAAACTAGTCAATATGTGACCCTGGAGCACAAAAGCAGTCTTAAGTCGCTGGGGTATATTTGTAGCAATAGCCAAAAATACATCGTATGGGTCAAAATTATTGTTTTTTCTTTTATGCCAAAAATCATTAGGACATTAAGTAAAGATCATGTTCCATGAAGATATTTTGTAAATTTCCTACCGTAAATATATCAAAACTTAATTTTTGATTAGTAATATGCATTGCTAAGAACTTCATTTGGACAACTTTAAAGATGATTTTCTCAATATTTAGATTTTTTTGCACCCTCAGATTCCAGATTTTCAAATAGTTGCATCTCAGCCAAATATTGTCCTATCCTAACAAACCACACATCAATCTTCAAGCTTATTTATTCAGCTTTCAGATGATGCATAAATCTCAATTTCGAAAAATTGACCCTTATGACTGGTTTTGTGGTCCAGGGTCACATATATACTTTAAACTTTATACATTTAGATTTTTAAGTGAATAACAAAAGTAAAAAAAAAAAAATATTGAAAAACATTAATTTACATTAATATATTAATTATAATACAACATTATATTAAAGTTGCCACAACATAGTCAAACTTATGAACTATATTACTTGTGAAAGAACATATTATTATGGTTATTTACTTTATTATGGTTATTTTCACTTTATTATCACTAATAAATGTAATTATTTATTGAACATTAAAGTCCCTGTAAAGTCAATGCTGAGAATTGTTTCTGAATGCATTATAAATGTTACAAATGTATTGCTGAAACACATTACAAAGACTGTGAACTATGTAGTACTGAATAGTGGAGTTAGACCGTTAAACAGTTTTTCACCAATTCTGTGTTCAGGATTTTTTGGGCGGGGCTAAAAAGGGGGTTCGATGACGCACTGGAGCCCCCGAGCCATGGCCCCTCCCCTAACACTATAACTAGAGCACATTCGCATCAGTTCACCCGCTCAATCGCGAGTTGTCAGTACCGTTAGTAACACACAGCCTACACAGTTTGCTAGCTATGCCTTTGTCACTGAAATGCATATTTCCTGGTTGCGATAACATACAAAACAGCTCGGTGTCCTTATTTTCCTAATAATGATTATATCAAAAAGATTATATTTTGTGAAGAGCCACCTTGATGGAGAGCTGAGGATCACCACCAAAACCCGCCTCTGCAGTGATCATTTTACACCGGATAAATTTATAAACTTTCATCGGAGACAACTGGGATTAAACTGGGATTCACTGTTACTGGTAAATGGGGCCGAACCGACTATTTCCCGCCTCGGCCTTCATCCTCCCGTCCGGACACGCCCCCAGCGTTTGAGAGCAGAGGATACCGCCCATTTTTTCAAGATTTTGATCACTTATTTTATTCACTTGGCGGATTTTTTCATCATTCAAATATGTGGTTAATAATACATTTTTCTGTGGTGTGACAAACTCAGAACACATATTTAATATTGCTTTTACAGGGACTTTAATCTTTATCACACAGCTCTTGTCATCATGTTATAAAAGCAATATGCTACATTAATTTTATAAAAAAATATTTTTTCAATTAATTCAAATTATTTATTTCATATAATATAATTTAAATTAATATATCAATTATAATATTTCATATTAAAGTTGCCAACAACATACAGTCAAACTTATGAACTACGTTACTTGTGAGAGACGTTTTTCTGGTTATTATTACTAATAAATGTAATTATTCATTGGACATTGATATTTTTAATCATACAGCTGTTTTCTCCATTTTATAAAAACAATGTTATATTAATTTTATATAAGCTATTTTTAAATGATTAATATTATACATTTTACATTATTTCATTTATATTAATTATAATATTTCATATTAAAGTTGCCAACAACATCCAGTCAAACTTATGAACTGTTACTTGCTTTTATGGTAATTATTACTAATAAATGCAATTATTTTTTTTTTTGTAAAGTTTTTTTTACTTATACAGCTATTTGAATTATTTTATAAAAGCAATAAGCTATATTAATTTTAAAATAAATAATTTTCAATTAATTAATATGAATTTACATTAATTTTTAATATTAATTTGATATTAATTTATTTATATTAAACTATTAATGAAACTTCCGGGGCGCAACGCTGTTCGTGCGACTCTTGACTCAGGCTCTATGTTTTGTTTGTTTGTTTTGTTTTAAGTGCTTTTAACTCTTTTTATTTTAAAAGTTTGTCTTTTATACATGATGGCGGATCTCTGGACAATTCTAGGCCTCTTGGTGTTTGTTTTGCAACCAGTTTTGCTTTGTGGACAATGCCGACCGGAGCATGTTCATTAGCCGCAGAAAACTTGGCATATTCGCGGGAACTTTTGCTGGACTTGCATCCGCTTGCTGTCGTTTGATTGTAATGTTGTACCTCAGGCCTGGAAAGAGAGTACCATTATTCCACTGCCAAAAAAGGCACATGCTAAGGACCTTATAGACTACAGACCAGTGGCTTTAACATCTGTGCTTTGTAAGTGCATGGAGAGAGTGGTTTGTCAGCAACTCTCCCAAGCAATGATTGGGAAACTGGATCCCTTGCAGTTTGCTAACAGAGTTGGGCGTGGAGTTGAAGATGCCACACTCACTCTGATGGATGAGGTTGGAAAATACTTGGATGCGGCAGATTGTTGCGTTAGGATTTTATTTATGGACTTTCCTTCCGCTTTTAATACTGTGAACATAAATATTCTTTTGAGGAGGTTGGAGGAGTTGCAGGTGCACCAAACCCTTATCTTATGGATGAATAGTTTTTTACGGGACCGTCCACAGCATGTATTAGTAAAATTGGAAAAAGTCGGAGAATGTGGTTTTAAACACTGGCATTCCTCAGGGGTGTGTTTTATCACCAATTTATTTTCTTTTTATATAAATGAAATGACCTGTGATACTGACAATCTGACGCTTATAAAATATGCAGATGATATGGCACTGGTGGGAAGTGTAAAGGACATTCAGTCATTAGATACTTACCTCAGTTTTGTTAATTTTATTACATTTTGGACAGAGGAGAGTTCTCTGCAGCTTAACATTAGTAAAACGAAAGAAATGTGTTGTGGGGCTAACAACATACGAGCACTCTGTGAACCTTTGTTAGTTAATGGAGAGAAAGTTGAACAGGTGGGATCTTTTAAATACTTAGGTATTGAGATTGACTCCCAATTTTCATTTGATAAGCATTCAGATAGTGTTTTTTATCAACGTCTAGGCTTATTGAGAAAACTGAGGAGTTTTAACACTGAAAAGGATATTCTGATTGTTGTATATAAATCACTTATCGAGTCTGTTTTTACTTTTAATAGTGTGTCCTGGTTTAACTCTCTCTCTGTTAAAAGCAAAAATAGACTTTTAAGGATTATAAATGTGGCGAGTAAAATAACTGGTGAGAGACAAACAACTCTCACTGATCTTTTCACTGTGGCACTAAAAAGGAAAGCCTCTGTTATTGTGGGAGACTCTTCTCATTCTCTGTATAGTTATTTTCAACTACTTCCATCCGGCAGACGCTATAAAGTGCCTTTGGTGAACCTGGTTTAACTCTCTTTCTGTTAAAAGCAAAAACTAACTTTTAAGGATTATAAATGTGGCGAGTAAAATAATTGGTGAGAGACAAACCCCTCTCACTGATCTCTTAACTGTGGCATTAAAAAGGAAAGCCTCTGTTGTTGTGGGAGACTCTTCTCATCCCCTGTTCAGTTACTTCCCTCCGGCAAACGGTATAAAGTGCCTTTGGTGAAAAGGGCCAAGTATAAGAAGACGTTTATTCCAACTGCCATTGGTATTTTAAACAGGATCTTATTTAAAGCTGCAGTCCGTAACTTTTTTGTGTTCAAAATTGACAAAATGTATATAATAACCGAGTACACCATGAATCCATTTTCACTACAATGTTCTTCCGCAAGACGCACACTATTCTGTTTATTAACCGCTAGAGCGCCAAAAGTTACGGACTGCAGCTTTAAATATTGTTTCAGTTGTGTTTTTGTGATGTAATGTAGTTTGTTGTTGTGAGGACTATTTGTGCTGTTTGTGTGTTGAGCCTTTTGTCTGAAGACAATTTTCTACCCCACTGGGGATAGACAACAAAGCTTTTGAAATTGAAATGGAATATTATATCATAATATTAAAGCTGCCATCAACCTACAGTTAAACTATATTACTTGTGAAGGAACAGTTTACTATGGTTATTATTACTAATAAATATAATTATTTATTGAATATAGATTTTTTTTATCATACGGCTGTTGTCAGCATTTCATAAAAGCAATAAGATTTAATATTGCTAATTTTATATTATTTTATTTATATTAATATACAAATTATAATATTTCATGTTATAGTTGCTAACAACCTACAGTCAAACTTACAAACTCTATTATGAACTTAATATTTTAAATCACTTTATATTATTTATTTTATATTAAATTATTAATATATTAATTATAATATTATATTAGAATCATATAACATTATAATATAATCATTACATTAAAAGTTCCCAACAATCTACAGTTAAACATATGAACTGTATTACTTGAGAAAGAACTTTTTATTACGGTTATTATTACCAAGCAAATAT